GCGTCAAATGATATGCCCGCCCGTCTTCATGTCCGGGCGACCACTCCCGAGCGGAGATCCGCGGGCGATCGGGTCGGCGATTACTGTTTTCTTTACGAGTCCGGGCACGTTGCTCCGGGTTTATGTGTTGTAGGAGATCATCCGCGGCGCCGGTGGGATTGAGAGGCACCAAAAAGTCTAAATCCTGCACATACCAACTTGGGACGGACCTCGGAATTGGGAGCTTGCTGCGTTTCAAATCACCGAGGTTTACATATCTACAGGTATATACGACAAATGAGAGGAGAGAGAAGGGTATGTGAGAAGATAGGTGGCCAGAGCTTGCGCCTCTCTCTCCCTCTCTCTGTGTTGTCTCGTTTTGACTCCCTTAAAGCCTCGGCTCATGAAGGTCCAAGTCCCAGCTGAGAGATTGGGGAAAGAGAAAGGAGGGGGGAAGGGGGGGGCATGAACTGGTCGGGTGTTCACTAAACAGACTGACAACTGTAATTTTGATCGGAGATTGAAGGTTCGTCGTAAGTGAGAGCAACTCTAAATGTTGATGGCTGGGGTGTACGCATGTTTATTTGGATCGTCATGGCCTTTTTCGTGCTTTTTTAACGCGCTTTGCTGAACGGTGATGTCTGTGTGTTGTTTGTCGGCGACGAATCGATTACTGTTTTTGGTTTCAAGACCTCGGCTGTCTTTTAATCTTAAGCTTTGGGAGGGAGGTTAGGGAAGGTGAGTTTGGTGAGTGAGCGAGGTGAGCACTTGGCAGACAGGTATCCCTCCGGCGGGATTGAGATGGTTTCGGGGCTGTTGTTGGCGACGGAGGTTATTCGAGTTCTCATTTTTTGTGTTTGTTTTGTAACTATATCGTCTGGTGTTTTTTTGCTTCGAAACATCGACGGCATCCACCCTTCTGGCCCCATACCGCGTCTCTTGTCGTTGGTGATGAGGCGGAATTGCTCTTATTTTGCGTTACCGTCATGTTGAAGGTTTTCTTTTTTCTCCAAAGTTCGCCGAGGCTGGTGATGAACATGAGGATACTTGGCCAAACCTTTCCGAGTTTGATTCGTGTGCATCTAGTCTCTATTGTGCCAAAGCTTCTTTGGGTCATTTGCGGCGATGCTGTTGTCGTTGCGGCGGTGGAAGTGTTTAGAATAGGATCCCGGGGGCGAACGGCTTTCCCCCGGAAGGCCGGTGAAGACCGGCCGTTGGCGATGAGACGAAATGATGGGCGTTTGCTTTACTCATTCTACTTCGGATGACGGGGCAACGGTTGGGCGTACTGTTCAATGATGACGCTTACCGTACGTCGGCTTTTTGCGTTGGCTTCTCAACGGCCTTGGCTTCTTCTGGGAGAGACTTCGTGGTGGTGGGTTGTTTCCGACAGGAGTGAGTTGGATATGGTCAAGCTGGATGGGTGGAGGAGGTTTTGATCTATCTCGGGGCGTCATTGTCTTGAGCTTGCATCCGAGGTTCTTGTTAGCGCGATGTGTTGCCACCCCTCTTTTGGGGTTGTCCGTCGAGGAATTTTGCTCTGGGGGCTGGAGGGAGGGAGATGGGGTTGAGCGGGTTTTGTTGTGTCGATTGACCTTCTTGACCTTGTCACGGATGGCCATGTCTAGGTACTGATGATGGTAGATGGACTTTTCATGCGTGATTATTACTCGAGAAGGTGTTTTGATAGTTTACAAGTAGTTCTACTTTCTCGACATTCCAAATCGGGGTGATGATGGTGATGACATTGACGATCAGCTATAGATCTAGACGTTCTGAGCTTCTCCGATACCCCTTCGACGTCAAGATTTCGGGTAAAGTTCTTAGTTACATATCATCTGGAGCAAGAAAGACAACCCTCATCATCACTTCACCTCGTCGCTTTGACCTTTATAAGATGAGGGAAGTCTTGTATCATTTTTGATAAACGCTCTGTGAAGGTGATCAATTCGACATTATCGAGACACCAAGTCCGTCGCATCTTGAGTTTAGGGGAATCTGTCCGTGAGCACGTGTGTTTCACGCTCAACAGGTTCCTTGTATTTCGTCCCTCCACCAGACTCCCCAAAAGCAAAAGGTTTTGGTTACCCTATAACGGTGATTACACTGGCGCGTCTCTGCCAGGGTTGCATCGATATCTGAACTTCGGTAGAGGGACCATTTGGACCTGCTGAGCATTAACGAGAAGACGGTGGCGGGCATTACGGCGAGCATAGTGATCATTGAAAGGATAGACCCTTGCGTCCAACGATGGTATTTCTGTCTAGACAGAATGCCAGTAACAAGTGTTGTAGAATCTAGGCATCGGCCCGGCCAGTAGTCCACATAATTGCATGTCAAAGTTCATTTCATGGGACCAAGTTGCTTCGCCTGCAACTATACTGGAGCATGGACAGAGAGAAACCCGGCTGCCGATTGCGTTGAAGGTTGTAAATAGCAGCGAGGCACGTCATAGAAGTCCAGATACGTTGTGAGAGTGCTAGAAGGAGTGTTTGGTGACAAACCTCTTACCAAGACTTCGGGAAGGCAATGTATTGGGTCCCCGGGCTGCCCCAGATTATGACGTTGTAGGTTTTACAACTATGAGCCCTGGGTTCTCCAAGGGTCAGAGGTTTCGATTTGAATAGGCCTCCAAATCGATAGATGTTTCCTACTGCCCCTCTATGGCAGCTAGCTGGAGCGTGCTACTATGCCGGATGACGTGCTCAGAGATGCTCGGTAGAAAGCATCGTTGAATGGCCAGTTTCATTTCGCTGGTAGTTAATCGTAACAAGGTCCTCAAAATGGAGACAAAACCTTTAATCTTCTGGAGGGAAAATGATATGCTAGGCCATATTGAATACCTGGGGCCTTTCTGCCGTCGTAGCAATGAATGAATGGATGTTTCAACAGCAAAGCAGTACTTCATAACCTCATGTTGAAATTCATTTGGATATCTATACGACCAGCATCTAGAACTCTGCAGACACAGCAATGAAGCCCGTCGCCTTGCCCTCGGCAGCCTGCTTCATCAGCTCCTGGTAGATGGGGTCCTTGGTCTGGTAGTACTCCATATCCCTAATCACCAACATCGTCGGTTAGCCACAAGTTTGCGTTTCCGTTCAAGAACGAAGACGGGGAGGCGGGTACTAACGCTTCGCTGGCAAACGTAATCTCGTAAACGACGGACCATGCCTGGGAACCCGGGACGTCGGTCAGAACCTTGCACTTGCTAGCCTTTGAGGCGACGAGGTACGTTGAGCCATCCTCCTAATGATCCCGAAGAAAAACCACAAAGTTAGCAAAGCATGTCTCCTCAGATCTTTCATGGTGGGTAGATCCAAATATTGGGATTTACCTTTTTGCAGTCGTTGACAAAGTTGCTGAACCTCTTCACCGCCTCATCTTGTGCAGGGCCGTCTGCGAGCGCAATGAGTCCGATTCTGGTGATGGCCATTGTTTTGTATGCGTTTGCTATTCAAAGGTTTTGAAGTCTGATTTGTTGGTTTTTGGTGTTGGATGATTCAAGGCCAGCCGCTGAAATTTATCCGTGTAGAGTATTCTCCCGTGGGCAACGTTGTCGAATCTCTCGAGTCTTTATATAGGCGTCCGGAAACTCAGTCCTTTTCCAACACGGGAAGTCACCGCCGTCTCTGCCTCGGCGCACCCATCGACGTCTCATCATGCCCGATGAAAGGAGGCGGAGCAAGGGTCCCCGTCATCCCGTCCGTCCCCCGGCCTCAGAAGGCCACCTCCGCATAGGGAGGTGAGTTTTCCGTATGGATCCCTATGCGGGGATGGGAACCACATCCGTCGACTTCCGGGCTTCTCTCTGCCTATCGCATCAAGTCAGCGGAATAGATTAAGCTAGAAACCCCCAAAGAACACATCCTCAATCGTCTCACCGACAGAAAGAATGACCATGGGGACGGGAAACACGTAGCCACTAGTGAATAGGTAGAGAGAAAGAGGGGTTCACAATCCACTGTTCTTCACTTGTCTTCAACGGAGACCGAACGTGTATGCATGAGCATCCCCCTTGGCACGCTAAGTAGCGATCCTGCCGAGGCATGAATTGTCCAAGTGGTCGTTCCAAGGCCGCCAACAAATCACTGGTCCAGAATCCTTCTCTTTTCCCCCTTCCCCTCTCCTAGCTTCCTGGGTTTCCTGCGAAACGTCAGAAACAGGCGGGACCTTCGATTTCGGCTGTAGTCAGAGAAAGGCTCGGCGACCGGAGGAAATACCGATTCGGGTCGCTAGCTTGCGTCAGTTGCTGTCGTAGCCGGGCAGATCCCGGCTTCCCGCTAAGTGGAGCAGATAAACCCCGGATTGGAGGGCGGGGCCCGTGCCAGGCCACCGCAAAACCCCCCGGTCCGGTGGACGATCGATACCTGCTCACCTGCTTTACTTGATATCTTTCCGCCGGCCGGTTCGGTGGTTGTGCACGTGAAGAGTGGCTTGTCTTGGCGTCTCGGAGCCTGAGGAAGTCGGCGGTCGGGTGGTAGGATTTGCCACGTCTTGTTCATGCCACTCGGGCCCAGCTTGGGGGATACCAGATCACCATATGATTGCAAGGCAGTCTTTGATTGAGTAATGTGTCATTCATTCTATAAACATCATGAACTTTTACCATGGCCAACCCCGAGCAAATCCATATCAAACAATTTCCTTCGCCAAACGTGAACATTGTCCTTCGTAAACCCAATGTCCCGTCGTCCCCTCCGCCTCCTGAAGAAACAACAAAAAGTTCATAACATTCGAAATATGCTTAGTAGTTAGAAATTAAAGGGCCGCGATGTTTTAGATGACATCTCTACATCTTCCAGCAGCCAGTTCGCTCCAGGGAAACAATCGATCTCGCTCCGAGAACGCCTCGCCATAACAACATGCAGGATATCAAATGCTCGCTAGCTAGAACCAGGATGATAAGCAGAAAAAGAAGAACCATCGACACAGTCGAATGGCAAAAAAAAGACAATAGCCAGCCGGAACCCAATCTATATACGTGTGTAAAATATTTCGTGTGAAATCGAAGGAGCCCATCACTGGCTTCCTCTTCGTCGCCTTTGATCCCTATAGTTGAGGGAATAGGGAGCAGGACGCTCTTGGCGGACCGTTCGCCGGTCCGGGAGACCAGACCGCATGTCCTGGTAGTAGTTGCTCTGCGCTGGGCCCGGGGCCGGCTGGTAACCCACGGGCGACCGCGGAGCGTAGGCAGCCTGGGCCATTTCGGCTCCGGTCGTTGGGTACAGGCAGTTTGGTGGCGGTGGTCGCAGGTAGAAGTTGTTTTCTTGCGTTGTGTAGTGCTGAGGTGGAAGGCTCGACACGGGCTGCATCGGTCGCATCATCTCGACCGAGGTGGGAGGCGGGTAGGCTTGCATGTTTCGCTCCTGCAGCGGGGTCCCAAAGTCGGCGATGGGCATCGTTTGTTGAATCTGTGTTGGGAGAGGCTGTTGGAAGAAACCGTGACCAGCCGCATGGGGAGGCTCCGCAGGCGCAGAATGCGTAGCAAGCGGCGAGTGGATTCGGGATGACGGCTGGCTATAGCTGGTAGGAGCATAGTACTCTGGAGCAGTGTTGATGCGAGGCTCGGGACGACGACCATGAGCAGCAGTCATGTCCCGGAACATGCGCGAGCGGTCTCGATTCAAGGCCATTGCTGCGGATCGATCCGGCGGGGGTGTAGCCTGGCCGTCTACCCAGCGACAGGAGTCAGACTCATCCGCGGTGTGAGAAGAAACGGACGCGGGAGCCGAGGGGACCCGGTTCGCAGTCGTGACCGGGACAGTCTGGCTCTTGTCCGTAGATGCTGTCGCGGGGTCCTGCGGGCGCTTGACCACCTCAGGGTGAACTCCCTCAACGTACTCGATGAACTCCTTGAGGCTTTGTACTTTTTGGCCCAACTGTTCGATCGTCTTGCCAGAACCATCGCTGCCGTCGGGAAGCAGGCTCTTGATTGCATCAACGATCTGATCAGCGATCGACTGAAGCCTCTTCTCTGTGCCCTTCAAAGGGATACCGGTGATAGGCTGAAGCAGGCCGAGAAGCTGCAAAGACTCCTCGTTGTTTCGTCGAGCGGCTTGAAGCGACTCGTTCACTTGACGGAGTTGGTCATCGCTGGTCTGGCTCTGCTGCAATTGCTCGCAATGACTCTCCAAGGAGCTGATGTGAGCTTGTGTGCTCTGTCGGAAGGAATCGATGATTCCACTCGGCGTAAACGTATGAACGGGTTGTGCTGGTGCTCGGCGAGCCATGACTGGCGTCCCGCGTGTGCTTGAAGGGCGAGAGTCGTCAGGACGCGGACTACGCCTTGGCTGTTGACTTTGTGAAGTCGAAGGCAAGCTGCCTTCTTGTACCGGGCTATAAGAGCTTAACGGGAGGGGGTATGATGGCCGGGATGTGGGGCGGTTGCTCTGGATAACATGGACCTCTTGAGGCGCAGGGAATGAGGGGCCTGGCATCGGGAGTCTGTTCGACTGTTCCGGATACCGCGGGTGCATTTGGAAATCTTGAAGGGGCTGAGAAGGGTGTGAAGGAGGAATCTGAGAAGGCAAGTAGCTGGCGCGAGGGTCATTTTGCAGGTGAACAGCTTCCGGTTGCGGAGGATGATGGCCCACGGGTCCGTTGTGGCTGTGAGAGCTGCCTTGCTCCTCCGCAAGGCGATACTGCTCGTAGTAGTCGTCATGGCTGACTGCCCTCGAGGGCAGCGCCTGTTGTCGCTGGGGCATTGGCAACTGGGGTTGCCGCATTTCCGGAACCTGCTGTGGTGGCATCTGCAAGGTATCCCAAGCATTGCCATTATCTGTGTTGAGGCCTTGCGTGACCCACAGAGGCTCCTGAGCGTTAGCACCCTGCCTTTGCTGGTCATGTTGTCCAGGCACGTAGTTGCTACTCTCGTTCTGCGGCATAAAAACAAAGTTGACCTGGAGATCGGCGTCTGCAATCATGCCGTCCATGTGATGTTCGCCAATGCAGAGGTCCAGATTGTCAGCAAAGGCAGGGTCGAGGCTGAATGATGGACAGATGTCGAAGCTAAACTCGTCATCAGATTCTAAGTCTGACCAGGTGCTGCTTCCGTATGGTCGAGCTTTCGGTGCTTCAGCAATAATACGAGTGTTGGGCTTCGTTGCGAAAGATACGGTGGGGATGTGGAACGGCTTAGGTGAAGTGGACTGTTGAAGAGCGGTCAGCTGAAGTTCTGGAACTCCGTGGCTTTCAAGGTAGGGTGCGCACCATTCGTCCCAGAGATGACTTGTAAATGGGGGAATCAGGGTCTCGAATTTCAATAGCAGAGTCTCGACGCCCTTGCACACGGTAGAACCGAGGAGGAGGAACGTCGTCCCCCGACTCAGAAGGGCTTCTGGACGATGCGCAAGAGGATGCCGAAGGAGTCAATGCAGGCTGTTGCACATCCGTGCTGAGTGAGAGTGCGTCCCACTGGGCCGTAAACAAGGAGACTCTGTTGGCGGGTTCCAGATTGACTCTTGATGCGTTACCCTCCAGCATGACCTCGCGTCCAACGTAGACACAGGAGCCAAAGAGCGTTGCGATACCGCGATATCCCATCTGAGGGCGCTCTGAGACGGAACGGCGGAAATCCAGGCTCGGGCCGTACAATGTAAGCAGGAAAGTGGTTCCGGATCGTTGCTCAGTGTGAGTCGGGACCCAGCAGACAGCCTTCAAAGGCACGAGCATACATTGGTTGGTCCGGAGGTTGAGAATGTGAAGCGCGTCTGAAAGGTCCTCTGCTGTGCCGTTCTCCACGATGGCCACCGGATCACCTCGCTGGTATTCCTGGCCGTCGAGAGATCGCCCGCCATGGACAAGCGTGCCATGCGCCGGCTGCATGTTTGCGCCGACTGGATCGCTATCCAGGATCGTATTATGTGACATATCGTCTTCCAAGGAAGGCTGCTAGTCTGATGGAAAAGAGGAAAGAAAGAAGTGGGCAGGCCGCAAGGTAAATATCAACACCACCACGAGGATTAATAGTTTTCGGCGTGGCACATAGCTTGGTGAGAGTCGGCGTTACGTCCGTGGATGAGTCGAGACCAGGCTACACTGTGAACAGAGTAGTAGATGGTGTGCGAAGACAACGTCGAAGCGTCAATATCAGGCAGGGTGATATAGGTGAAGAAACACGGAGGAGCGGTGACCAGCAGTGTTGACGAGGAAGTGACGAATTTTATAACACAAATCGGAATATGAGAGAAGCGTGAACGCATACGCCTAGGGCACTTGACTGTACCATATGCGACTTGGCATCGATTCGGGTCCGATACCCATACCATGGGTCAAGGAGGAGCTGCAGCGGAAGCCTCATCGCACATCCGCCAGAATGAACTCGTACGCAATCCCAGTCGACACCCTCCCATCTCTTGCGGACGTAGGGACAAGGGGTAAGGGCGTGTACATGGAAGAAATCCCAGGATGCACTAGAGGGCGATCTGCTAGGTACCTAGGGCCGTAAGGTACAGATCCTTGTCGACGACAGACCAGGGATCATGACGGGGCAGGCCGGGACGACTGGGGTGTGATTTGTATAGGTAGCAAAGCCATGCCGCCATGGCTGTCTCGGACCCTTTCTCCACCCTCAAGACCTGGCTGGCTGCTTTGAACTGGCTTGTCACGCTTGTGTGGTTGTGTACGGTTGTGTAAGCCAGCCAGTGCCTTCGCAATTGCGTACCAAGCACCACTGTGTATCGGAACATGGCTTTCAGCCAGTTCGTATCGTCCACGTCTCTCGTCTTTGGCCACTTGGACATGGATCATCACTGGTAGTCGACATAAGAAAGAGATTCGAGTCAAACATCTCGGAAGCAGGAAAAAGGCATCATCTACGACAACTGTATCCAACTGTCAGACTTTTTTGACGCCATTGACGCTGTCTGAATAGCTGGAAATCCTTCGCGGCAGCATATCATGGCGCTTGTTCGGTGCAGACAGAGAGACTCATTTCAAAAGAAATGTTATGAACATGGAACGCAAAATTCTGAGAAGTGATAGGGCGAGACACGCCATTGGTTGTTCGACCATGCCGGAACACCATCCAGACTGCGCGGACGTGGAGTAGCCGAACGCCTGCAAAACCTCCTCAGCCACTAGCTTCTAAGCGGTGACCCCGCCAGATTTCACAAGTCGAACATGGGCTTAAACCCCTTTCTCCCATGAAGTTATCGAGTCTTTGCGGTCCACAAATTGGGGGCTCCGACTTGGCTCTAAGACAGCATAACTGATCACCCTATCCGTATGCTGCCAGGAACGCCGCGGTGCAGAACCCAGAGCCCCGTTGTAGACATGGACCGAGGCCACCGAATTTCCGCCACAGGTTGAGACCAAAGTCAACACCGCCATCTTGGTGGCCTCTTCATTTCGATAGACCCCGTCCGGTCTCGCTTGCTCACGAAAGCCAGCACTCTTGCTGGGTAGAAATGCTAGCTCAGAGCGGGCAGTACTAGCTGTTCAGTCGCTTGATGGTGAGATGTGTCTTATCTGGCGATATTCGCCTTATCAATTGTACATTTGTCGCGGCGGAAACGATCCGGTAGCAACCAAATGTGAGGCTTGCCCAGGGAGCGTCCGCATCTCGCGACAGAGAGGATAAGCATGGTCTAGAAGTAGCCACTTCGCCGTCCTTACTTGCTTGTCTTTGAATCGGCCTCGGTCTTTGTGTCGTCTTGTTTTTTGCTCTCTTCCGGCATCTTGCCGAACTTTGTCAAAATATTTGCAGCCCATTCTTCGAACTCCTTCTCAGCCGCCTCGTCCGTCTGGCCAGCCGCTCCACGGATGCTTCTCCTAGCCATCTCTCTCAAGTCGTCGACCGAAGACACGTCAAATGCCCAAGCAGCACCACCAGTCATCATGATTGCGAAGCTCATGACGTTCAGTGTGGCCAGGTTCAAAGCCTCGACGGCAATCATGCCACCCTCTGGATTCCCTTGTTTGCCCGCAGCATAGTGGCTAGGTTGATAGAATTTCGGGAAGGCGGCGAGTTGTTTGCGGGCCACGGAGCGTCGGGTAACCATTGCCGAAAATACGAAGAAGCCGGCGCCGGCGAAAAAGAGGCCAAGTTGTTTCGCGGCTCTCGATTGGAAAGGTGAGGATGTTGGCTGGGCCTGCGACTGCGTCGGGCGAGTGTCAGGCGACTCATTCTGGGAAGCCATGGCGGAAGGGGAGAGTTGCGCGAGCATCGGATTATACCCCTTTCCATTGAAGCTACTGTTAGACAAAACAAAAACATCGTGGCATTCTCGGAGCAGCTCACCAAGCTCAGAACGGCATCTGCCGGTTCAATTGATCGAGACGGGTGTCGATGGAGTCCCTTGCGCGGTTGGTGTTGAGAGACTGGGGAGGTAAAGCGGAGCTCTGGCGGGACAGACTTGGGAGCTCCTCTGAATTGGAAGTCGGGGAAAGGAAGTTCCCGCCACTAAAATTTTCGGGCCCTGTACCTGTATATGCAACAAAACAGACCTTGCGTTCCGTTTGGTCCATACACCTTTAACGGGCAACTAAGCGGGCTGTGAGCTGTGTGCATTATGTAAGTCAGGTACGTATACCGCAACGCATCGGCTTCAGTGCCGGCCAAGGGTTCCAATCGACGTTCCTTCCAGGTTACAGCGATGCTCCTGGGGTTCGATCTCATCTCCTTCTCTCCCTCAGCGTGGTGTCTTGCTTCTACATCTTCCCATCAGCAATCGCAGGAGAAGAAGACAATGACACAAACGAATTCACCCAACTGAAATTGAAAAAAATCTCTTGTCAATACCTTCCTTACCCTCGTATCTGTATCTTGCAATTTCGCGGCATGCTGGCGACTCGCGAAATGCTACCGTTCGCTACGGACGAAATGCACGTTGGCCCACTGTCAACACCACATACACAACTTCCAGAAGCCACGCATCCAGACTCGTCAGGTACCTTGCCATTGCAACTACAACTGCGGCAGCCAAGCCACAGCGTGGACGGCATATTAAGAAGGGCGGAAACCTCAAGATTGCGTCCGCGAAAGCCATCCGGCCTCCCCTCCGGCCTCTGCAGATGACCTGCTGGCAGTCGCAGCGGTCTAATATGCTCCATGGCGCTACGGAACAGATGGCTGCGCTAAAGCCCTTGTCGAGCAATGGCACACGGCTCTCCCCATGATTACGATGCCCAATCAAAATGGCCCGCAAGATACGACCAATCTGCCTCCCCCCTATCTTGGGATGACAGCCCACATTGCAACGGCTGCTCCCATCAGTTGAAATCACCTGCAGATGACATGCCAGTCAGATGGTCGGATGCCTTCCCCGGGGCCTGCCCAGCTTCGCTGATGGCTGCATCTGGCGAGATGCCTAGACCCCGCCGCCTATTCCACTTGTCCACTGGATGCTCAAAGGCTTTCCAGCAACAAGTACCTGTGCAAAGACCGTCAAAATGACAGATCAAGTGTCGTTTCTCAACTACCTGCACTTACACGCCATCGACGCCTCACGGGCCTACTTGTTTTACGACTCATGTCCCCAGCTCAGATTCCTTCATTCGCCAACTGCAAACAGACCTGAAGAGATGCTTGTCTCGGCAGCGATCGATTGTCCGAGATCTTGATTGCTGGATCGCTGATGGGTTCTGACGATTTCGTGACACGCTGTCGGTTTTTGGTTGCACCAAGCTGCTGGGTTCCCCAGCGCATGCGCGCGATGGCTGGCAAAAGGCGCCCAATGCAGGCAGGCTCGGCAAACGTCCAAATAGTACAGTAACACCAAACGCGATCGTTATCGACGACACCTTTCTGGCTGGCCGCCTTTTGAAAATCGGATTCTTCATTCACTTTATGCTGAAGACGACAAGCACTTGATCCTGCTGATACCCGATGCGATGTCACCACAATAAACTTACAACAGTCCATTCGCATGTGGAATACCATCTCTTGCCTAGCTCCCGACCCTTGTTTGGACCGGCCGCACCTCAAGCAAGCCCGAAAGCAACAATACCGCCGTTACGTTGTCGTCAATAGTGCTACGATGACAAGGAACTGGGTAGATTGCGATGGTGGGTTTCGTGCAGAACCAGAGCGATCCAGGCCGTGGACGGGCGCATCAGGTCGAGAATCTGCAAAATGATGAAAACACTGGGTCGAGGCATCATGTGCTCATGGGGTGGATTACGAATGGGCACAAAGTGGGTGAAGTCATCGCATTCATGTTCGTGAGATGTGATTTCGGATTCAGTCGCAAAATGAGATATAGCGCATCGCCCAAAAGCATCGTCAGCGGGGTGCGCTGCCAGTCGTCGTCTGTGGGGACTACGGCAGAGCTCCCCTCCCTCAACATACCTTACTCTGTACGCTCGATCAAGGAGAACGGCGTCCCGACAGTCGGGCGCCTGGTTTGACAAACACTCCAAGACAAACAAGCCGCAATTGAGTTGGATGGGAGACATGTGTTGGCTCACGGTTCCTGACGAGTTCCAAATTGACCGGATTGTCTCAGGTCAAACTCGGTTTCATCACACGTTGATTGTCTTCTTCATGGTCAAAGAAGGATACCTGCAGTCTCGCATTATGAGGGAGACGACTTACAGCGCGAGACAACTCTCTTGCGACGAACAAGGATGAGTCCTGTTCTTCAAGGTCAAAGCGAGTGACGAAGTCAGATGTGCAGAAATCAATCAGGAGGTTGGCAGGTTTTGTGACGCGACAAGCCTACAACTCGTCGGGTCCTGTCATATATCACTTCTTACGAGATCTAGCGCCTCAGCCAGGAAAGGCAATAGTCACGAAGTCAGCACCCAATTACGTCGAGGATCCAGCCAAAAGTGACGCCTATCCACAGCAGAAGATTTCTCTTGGTGAAATCCAAGTTGCTGCTGTTGATGAGGGATTTTAGCAAAGGACCAGATTTTTTCGATATGCAGTGCAGTGCAGGTGGGAATCTCCGCGATCGCCGAGGCGCGAGTTTATCGTACTTTTCGAACCTGGGGTGCCACGGTTCCTTTACCACAACACTGGGTCACAGATCAGATTGCCAAATTGCATCGTGTTATTGTCAGATCGATTCGATGGGCCAATGCGGCCGTGCTATGCCGGCCAAGTTCAATGTTTGCCTATCAGCCATCAACAAGTGCCGTTTGATATGCAATGATCCGATTGCCTAACGGGCCACCCCAAAGACACGCAAACTTGTACGACCGAAGTTTCGAAGGGCGACGGGAGCAACCGCATTGCCGAAAGTTTGCTAAAACACCGTCGGGGGTCTTTCCCCGTCGCACCCTATCTACTTGGTAACCGCCGCCTTTTCCCTCCCATCGGCTGTTCTTACGTTTCAGCGTTGCGGTCAATTTTAGCAAGCTCCAGGTCGCGAGAGCCGACAGGATATGGCGCCAAAGCGACGGGACGCTGCGCACAGACTGGAATCCGACAGAGAGGAAATGGATGCGTGCGAATCTAAGTCGTATTTGCTAGGAGCACGCCACACGATGCAGGCTTTAGTCACGAATACCGAAGATGTCAAGGAAGACCCAGACATGGCAGAGGGGAAATGGGATTTTTGATCAATTGTCACTTTCTGATGAAAAGTTACATAGGGAGACGGAGGCTGGCTGTTTGATATATGACGAAAGGTAGGACAAGGCAGGGAGGGCTCAGGTTCAGTGGGAGGAAGAAAAGGCGATTCTCAAGATCGAGCGAGACCAATGCTTAGCGCTGCCCATCCATCGCCAGGCCCTGGTCCCGGCGGCGTCTCCCCCGGGCCCCCGGAGAAGATGGGATCCACTCTGGCATGGGTCCACGGGGGATCTCAGAAATGGAAGCGGCGGCGGTCGGGTAAGGCGCGGCTTCCCAGGATGGCACGCCGCACACGCCATCGAGAGCACCGTCCACACTGTAAGCCGCACACAGTACAACCACCTGGGCCACACAAGGCTACCACCCACCTACTCCGTACCTACCTTACCTTTAGCACCTACCTTATGGATAAGGTACCTTAGCGCCTGCATCATTTGAGCCCACTTCCATCCATCATGAACCACTCAACGTCAACATCATTCTCTTTTCTTTCTGCAGACTGCTGCCCACAAAGTTATATTTCTCCCTACGCACGAAACCCCCAATCTGCCGAGAGATTAGACGTCATCGCCAAAGGGTTCAGCCAGCCGACGAATCGCGGCCCCACCCTCAGCATCCCTCATCCTGGCTTACCCCCGCCAGCTCTCACGTGGGTTGATCATCAGGGCTCCAACGGCATCTCACGGAGCACAAAATCAAGCGCGACAACGATTTGCAGACTCGATTCGGCCAATATTCAACAGCCAATCAACCGTTTGACATACGAACTTGACCCTGTCCAACGTCTCTCGCAAAGACCAGCCTGTCGGCGTCCACTCCTCCCTTCTCTGCCACGCCACTTTGCTACATAGTAGCGGAAGCCTCAGTTGTGTCCCAGACAGCCGTCAGGAACCATAAACCACCTGATATTACTTGGCCCGCTGCACATCATCCCGAGAAACACGTCCCGTTCTTTCTGTACATACGGGACAGCACGAACCCTATCGGTATACCGTGGGGAATAAGCCAAATACCATGGGGAAACCCAAAAACTCAACCGCCGGCAAGACAAAGGCCGGCCTTGGAACTAATAATGGCGGCGGCAACGCAAAGTTGACCACAATCGCCTCGATTCCTGCCGCACCGCCCGCATGGCCCCAATTCAAACCGCCGTTACCGGTTACCGATCTGGCTGCCGACCAGCTCGCTTCTTGCCCGGACAAGGTCGTCCTGATTCGCAACTTTTGGCCAAAATCCCTCTGCGGTTCCTATGTCACATTTCTGAGGGGTTTACCGCTGATCACCACCCCTGGTCGGCCTAAGCGGGGAGAAGCGGTTAGAGTGAATGACCGTTTTCAAGTGCAGGATGCTGCCTTTGCTCAACGCCTGTGGACGGAGACTGGACTGCGCGAATCGCTTGCTCAAGAAGACATTCAGGGTTTATGGTGAGTCCACTGTCTTCTGTTCCAACTCCCCTAGTCCCTACCTTGCCTACCCATCCCCCGGCCCTCCGAATGCACCCTGGCCACGAACAACGCATCCCATGCGCTTCCGGCTAGATCCGCCACCGTCTGCGCACAATCAAATTATACCTACGTCCAAAAACAGTTATAACAAAACATGAAACCCACGCAGAAGAAGAAACCGCTTGCGTAGAGGTCTTTTCGCTAAAGCTAAAGGCTTGTCATGAGACTTGCTAACGTGGATCGATTGCTCTAGGGGCGGTGAAGTCGTTGGTCTGAATCCCAATATTCGCATCTATCGTTACTCCAAGGGCCAGTATTTCGATGCACATTGTAAGTCTCATAGTCAAATCATTCTCTTGTCACCCAACGCCACAGGCGCCGGGAGCACTAGGCACTCTGCCAGTCAACCAACAAGATTTCCGCCGCTCTATGCAACTAGGCCAGTGGCCAAGTGCTTCGAGGTCCTCGCGCGATTGCCATAGGCTGCGCATATTTGTCACTGGTCAAAGACTGCGATGTGCCAGAGCTCTACAAGCCTTTGTCTTGGGGACACGGCCATGGGTAGCTACCTAACTCTCCTGACACCAACGAAGTGCTTGCTCTCTCAGAGCGACACTTCTGGATCCCCAAAGTCGGGTTGTAACGAGACCGTTGCAAAATCACTGCCCCCGTCCCAGTGGACATGCCACGATGCCCGTCACTAAGCAGATTTTACGAGGGTTTGATCGTGCTCGATCCATACGTTTCCCCCTTCCCATGACAATTACCTTCATCGACCCATTCCTGTGGGCACTACCTTTTACCACGGTTCCCTTACTACGCATGTCTCAACCACCTCGAATCCAAGACCCGTGTCTATGAAGCAGGTCGTGACTTTTCGACTCTGCATGAGAAACCTGCTGAAAGATGTGAATTTGTTGAACCACTGGCCTTTGGGGAGACGATTCGGGGACCCACAACAAGTGTCTGGGCCAACGATCTACCCTTCAGATGATCATTTATGATATATGATATCTTGTCTCCTCCGCTCAGTCCTCTTTTGTTTGCACTCTCCAAGTCATCACGATATTTCATCCGAGCACCAGAGACCCAACGATTCGTCCCAGAAGCCACAACCCTGCGGATCGTTCCATCCCGATCCGCTTCATGGCGTTATCCCCCCCTGGATGATGTGGGAAGCTGAGTCCGGGAGCCTGCGAGTCCGATCCAGCGATGCCCCTCGACATCTCGCATCTTCCTATCCAAACAAGAAACTCGGCACTGAGAGAACCAGGGCCACCATGCTTTCCTTGTCTTCCGGCGACCCTATGGTGTTTTTTTCCCTTCTGAGCTCTAAGTCTTTTCTTCTGTATCTTTTCACTTGTCTTCCGTGCAGGCTTCCTCCTCCTCTCCAGCTTCAAGATCGACCTAGGCTGACCATTGGAACCCCCACTTGCAGACGACGATTCCAACAAGGTATCGCTCAACATCGACGCCTCCTCCGGACCCGTCACGTGCAAGACAACCTGGACGCTGCTCCTCTATCTTACCTCTTCCGCCGAGGGCTGTGTTGGCGGCGAGACCGTCTTCTTCCCCAACGACCGCCGCTCCGCTAAGGAGGAGATCCCGGTCGCTCTCGAAACGGGCATGCTCCTCTTACACAAGCATGGCGACGACTGCATGCTGGTAAGTCTCTTCTGTTCA